TGTGTTGTGCTGGTCTGAGTGGATCAGACACAGCAGTGCTGCTGGAGTTTTTAAACACTGTGTCCACTCACTGTCCACTCTATTAGACACTCCTACCTTGTCAGTCCATCTTGTAGATGTAAAGTCATAGACGATAGCTCATCTGTGGAAATCATTGCATGGGCTCAGAAACACTTCTGAAAATGACTGTCTGTGAAAACAGTTCATCACTGCATCCACAAATGCAAGTTTAAACTCTAAAACCATAGAAAAAAACAAGAAAAAAACATAAGTAAACAGGATCTAGAAATGCTGAAACCTTCTCTGGTCCCGAGCTCATTTAAAATGGGCTGAGGGGTAGTATAAAAGTGTCCTGTAGCCTGACAAATCAACATTTGAAATAATTTTGGAAATCATGGACACTGTGTCCTCCAAGCTAAAGACCACTCAGCTTGTTATCAGCGCACAGTTCAAAAGCCAGTATTCATGATGGTATAGGGGAGCATTAGTGTTCATGGCATGGGTGACGTGCACATCTGTGAAGGCACCATTATTGCTGAACAATATATACATGTTTTGGTAACATATGCTACCATCCAGACGACGTCTTTTTCAGGGAAGGCCTTGCTCATTACAGCAAGACAGTGCAAAACCACATTCTGCATGTGTTACAACAGCATTGCTCCACATTGAAAGAGTCCAGGTGCTAAATTGAACTGCCTGCAGTCCAGACCTATCACACAGTGATAACATTTGGCGCATAATGAAATGAAAAATATGACAAAGGAGACCCTGAACTGTTGAGCAGCTGACATATATCAAACATCAAATATATCAAAAATCAAATATATCAAACAAGAATGGGAAAATATTTCACTTTCAAAACTACAGCAGTCGGTCTCCTCAGTTCCAAATGCTTACAGAGGGTTGTTAAAAGAAGAAGTGATGAAACAAATTGGAAAACATGCCCCCGTACCAACTTTTTTGGAACATGTGGTTGGCATCAAATTCAAAATGGGCATATATTTTTCAAAAAAACAACAAAATTTGGTTTACATGATTTGCACATCATTGCATTCTATTTTTATTTACATTCTGCACAGCGTCCCAACTTTTTTGAAAAAAGAGTTGTAGAAAAATACATTAAAACTTAGATTATACCCCATTGAGTGTTAATGACTCCAGTCAACACAACTTTAAAAACAGAACTACCACTGAATATCATACAGATATATTCCCTACATAAATGTACAGTGATGCTGTTTGTACCCTGAAAGGTACTGTTTTTTTCTGAGAGGAAGTCAAAGCTGGGTGCTACATGTGCCCAGGACCAAGTTTATGGCTTTTACAATATAGTAATATTATTTGTGAAACAGGATGGGTTTTTATGTCAAATAAATGAATAATGAACAATTTCTGACCATTTTCCAAGACCCTGACAATATCCACTGCTTTGTGTATTCTCAAGCAACATATAATGGTATCCTGATAAGGAGAAAACAGGCTACAGCTAGCTAGCGTTTATTTTACTCACACTGATAGAAAGGTGTAACAGGCTGGCAGTTGGACAGTGACCACATAGTAGATACCAAAAAATTAAACTGCATACCATTTTAATAGAACTGATAAAGTGGCTAGGACCTAGCAGTGGAGTGAGAGAGCAGTGCTGCATGGCTAACCCAGATGAGCTTAGCTAGCCTATCAAAATAGAAACGCTAGCCAGCTTACTTTTAAGATAGACTAGGGAAAGGGATACGTGCAGTCCAGCAGAAAGCAACAAGCTAACACTCGTCTATCAAAATATTTGATTGAGTAAAAATATGCTTTTTACACAGGTAACAAACTGTTTTGCTTGATAGCTTAGCATTGCAAACCTACAACAAACTAGCATTTGAAGCAGTTTAACTGATGTATATACCACACAGTAGTTGTACTCAACGATTTCAGCACATATTACGAATTATCCTAATATAGTAAGTATTAATGTCCTTCAAAACATCTATTTCTTTCAAATGTACTCAGAAGTATCTGAGACATTTTAGTAGTATGTAGTGCTCTATGGTGAGAAGTCTATAGACCAAGACTAGGTCCTACATGTTGTGCTAAAACAGTATTATGTTCATCTTTATTATCCTTGTGATTCATAAAAACTGAAAACTGAAACTGTGTGTTGAAGGTCTGCATGACTCGATTTGGGAAATGCTGATTTATAGTGTTAGCTCACGACACAATTTAACCACAAGGTGTCGCTGTACTGCTCAATATGGTCACATGTCAAATCACTATTGATCAGTGGTGTCAAACTGCACTCTCAGAGGACCATAACACCGCAAGTTACTGTTCTTTCTCCCATAACACACTTAATTCAACGTTCGAAGGGTTTGATTATTAACCAGTGAGCTAATTTAGGGCTGTTAAAACAGGGGGACACTAAAGCCTGCGGTGCTGTTACCCTCTAGGAATGCACTGTGACACATGGCCTCTAGATGGAGCTACACTCCTTTAAACCAGGACACGGATACATATCTTCTACTCTTACACTATAACAGAAAATGCCTTTCTAATCTTTCTGGACTTCAAATGTTCCAGCGTAGACTATGGGCGGAGAAAGTCGCCATATGCTTTTATTCTTTTACTCTTTTTTTCTTTTTTGTTTTGTTTTTGTTTTTTGTTTTTTACAGCCGTCTACGTATCTAACACATTACATAGAATGCTGTTTAAATCTTTTTTTATTTTTTCTTTGCAAAAAATGCACATCTAAAGAAACAGCAGATACAAGCGTCCCCCACACATTTTATTCCCTTGTTGTGATATTAGTACTTATCATCGCTTTTAAGACATTAGTAAATACTTGTGTTACATTAACAAATCATTGAATATATTTTTTCTACTTAAGAGTGAAATTCAAACATTTGAAAAGTCTCATAGTGACGGTAGTGCAATTTGCCTATTTAGAAGCTCATTTAATGTAGAGCAGAAGTTCCAGCAGTTTCACTGAGAGTGTAGAGGGAAAAAAACATTAAGATTATAACAAAGTGAATAAAAAGGGTGAAATATGAAACAGACATGTCTTTGTTCCTATTCTGAAATGTCTCTAATGTAATGCTATCCCATACTACACTCTGACATGCCACAGTCAGTCTCCCCTGCAGCTGCATCATGCATCGCAACTTCGCTGCTAGTTGTAGAATTAGTGTAAGGGCTTCAGAGGAACCACCTGGTGGCAGTCTTGAACAGCGTAAAGTTACTATATTTCACTAAACAGCTCAAAGCTCATACACCTAAAAGCCTGAGGGACGTTGAACTCATACCCTCAAAACTATTCAGTGATGGTCTGAAGATCAATTGCATACATAACTATTGTAGAAAGCCTGTAGACTTATTGTAAAAGTAAGTAAAAACATTTGCATGTTACTTATCCAGTACATTTTATGTTGTATACTGGTTGTATACTGTCTTTTGTTTTATGCATTACACAGTTTGAGCTGGAAGTTGTCCAACTGGCACATACACATTAGTGCTTAATATGAAAAAGAGAAACTTAAGGACAGCCAATCAGTAACAGTGATGTCTGTGGAACACTATAACACCATTAGGCCCCGCAGTGTCATTATTTTGCTGTAAATGATATAAATAGTTGCTTAGGGCTCCTGAACATGAGGAACTATGAGGTTTACTTTTTAATATTGCTAGTATTAACACTGCCAAGGCACTAACTATTAGGGTATTTTTAAAAATCTATTTTCTTGCTGCTACTGTCAAGTTTTTTTGTAGTTTAAATTAAACTACAGCTAATAAGGTATCATCTAGTGTAAGAAGTGTTAGGCTAAGTGCCATTAAGTAAGTTGCTAGCTAGCTAGTTTGTACCTATCTATGAAAACAGTGGCCTAATGAAACACCTCTTTGTTTGACTGAACAGTGAAAAAGTTTTATGAACTGTTAAGAGACGATCATCTCTGATTTTAATGAAAAAAAACAACATATAATTGGTAAAGAAACAAACTGTCTTTATTTTTAATTAATCATACAGGCCTTTATTTTGTTAATATTAATTTAATGCAAATTATTTCTGTATATAGTATTTTTTTGTTATAATGTATTAAATAGGGGTCTGTGGGGAGCCTCCAGATACTCAAAAACACCTCTGAGGCCCTGGTCTGTTGACGTGATCATGTAGTGTAAGGTTCATCTAGCGAGTGTTCAGCTGCAGAGTAGTGCTTAACCTTAATTCAACTCATTAACTGTGGATACTTAGCAGACAAATTCATTCAGCTGTATTAGATCATGCCCTCCTGGACCACAGTCTGCCATTCCTATTTTAAGGCTGATTACAAGCTGTGTGTCAGTCGCCTCAGTTGTGCATAGACCTTTCAACTCTTCTTCCAAACTTTTAGAAGGTGAGTTTTAATTTTACCTTAAAGTGGAATTCCTATTTCCATTTAATTATGCAGAAATAAAAATTAAATTGGTGGAATTCCTCTTTAAGGATGAGAACGTGTGAGAGCCACTTTGTTGAGTTTGGAAACAGCAAGAAAAAGACATTAAACAGTTTTGTAAGGTTTATAATGAAATTAGGTACTAAGTTAATTAATGCAATTAAAGGCTCAGTGTGTTGAGTATTCACTCCAGCAGGGGGCGTGTTTAGCACGAACAGCGCTCCCTTCACCAAAACAAACAGCACGCCCCTGCTGCCCAACGGTTTTAATCAATCGTCGAGCGTGTGAATGAGGGCAATCTGGCGATCTGTTGTCGATTAGGTTAGCCTTAGAGGACCGAATCCGTTTTTTCTCGTACGACTCGTTTCCTTGAGGTGCTGTCATTCCTCTCTGAAGACCGCGATGGTGAAAAACAGCGCGGAATCCGTCGGCTCGAATTCCACAGGCGTACAGGAGGGGATGTGACGAAGTTTCGTCCAGAAAAGCTGGAAAAATAGGTGAAGTGAAGACGCCGAACGGTGAGACCGCGCTCAGCTCAGCTCACGCCCATTCGGGAGCCGTTCTCTTTGTAACGGTACTTTGGTTGCTGGGAGTCTGGTAGAGGGAGATGATTCAGAGGATACAGGGGGGCGTAGTGGTTTTTTATGAGGAGCTCGTCACCTGTTTTTATCATTGATACGTGCTTATTCTGTGTCTGCTTTCTCGCTGTTTGTGTGTCGACCTCACTGAGCGCTTTGGCTCCCACATCAACAAAGAAGATGCGGTTGAGGTCTTGGTTGTTGGGGACGCTGAGAGCCACACACACACACGCACACGCACTTTTAACTCTGCGTCTGTACTGAATAGTCTGTGTTGTATGTCGGTGTTCTCGGTATTCTCACAGAGAACGTTTGCAGTCTGTGCTCTCCGTTCTGTGATTACTGTCAACATTAACGGTTTCCACTGTAGCGCCATTGCACACCTGACTGCTCCAATGGACGCACCAAAAACGTCCAGATTTCAAGTTCATTTAAGCTAAATCATTACTGGACTGCTCAAAAGCTGGACCTTCGGGCAAACAGAGGTGCAGAAAGATGACACTACATACACAGCTGGGTCTGTAGATTTATTCCGTTCTCTGTGTTCTTATGTAAGTGTGTTCTCCGTTATGTATGTTGTCTATGCAGGGAGAGATTCATAGACCGTATAGGCAGTTTCTTTGTTTTGGCTAACCTGAAAGCATAACCCAGATTCACATGAACTGTTTTGGCACACAGTAATTGTTGGCATGGTTTACTGATGCAGGCCTTGATTCTCAGTTTTTAATCCACGCCGCAGTTCTCTTTTTGATTCGTGCGTAGTCCCGGAGAAGATCCAGTTGATATAGTGTTTTTCACAGGATCTAAAAATAGTATTTCTCTCTGTTGCATTGCAAACAGACTTAAAGACTCAAAGCCTTGCTAGTTCACAGGCCTAGGTTTATCGCGCAGTTAGGAGCTGGGATTTTACAGTAAAAGCAGGGGGGGCATAATCATCCATATTTAATGGTCTTAATCTGGGGGTCTTCCACAGTTGAAGAATGCATCAGTCCTATTTTGAAAACTAAAAATACAGTGATTTTAATTCAGCGTTTCACATGCTGCACTGCACTGAATTTAATTATGCTCTCATTGTAATGAGGCATGCAGTCGGTCAGTGTCCTTTAAAGGGCAACGTAGTATAAACATAGTATGTAAACATTGTTTAAGTTTCAAAACATACATTTCACTCAGTCCTTGCAGTCTGTGTATGGACAACATTTTTGTGATGTCACAAAAACCTAGAAATTTACATATATATCCTTAAATACCCTACAGCAGCTCCACCCATTCTCACTGGAGTTACAAGCAGTATACTCTTTATCCCAGTGGTTCTCAGTTTCAGTCCTAGGGGATTTTTGCTTGATCTCCTTGCAAGATTAGTGCTGAGACCCACCTGATTCAACTCAGTAATTAACTGATGTGTTAAAATCACTGAGTGCACAGGTTCCCCAAGGACTGATGAGCACTGATTTATCCAGTCTGATGTGAAAAGTGTGAAAAATGTCCTGTCTGAGGCAACATAACAGTTTATTCCTTGAAGTATAGTCAGCATTATTGTACCTGTTGTAGCTCTAAGTGGGATATAGCTCTGTAAAAAAATGGTGCCTGCATTTTTCTTTCGTTCTCACTATTGGCATCCTTTATTCCTGTATTATTATGTGCACTAAAGGGTCATTAAAAACCGGATTGTCAGCTACCTGTACATCTAATCCTTTAATTGGTGCACATCACTGCACAGTTGTGTTTGGATTCTAGAAACACATTGCACTTATTAAAGTTGCATGATCCCCTGTGTGCTGAATGAAAAGTATTCTCAGTGCCATCGAAGCGATGGGAGGAGGACAAAACTCGCCACCCTGGGCCACTCAGCAGGCAGCCAGCCATGACCTCTGTTGTGTAACAAGTGCAGGCAAACAACTCAAGCTCATATAACTGCCTATTATTGCTTTAAACTGCACAGCATTGGGATTTCTGATGCATGTGTACTTACACTTGCATATAGGCTTGTCTTGAGACCAGAGTTCTCATTTTCATACTGAGCATGTTGTCACAATGCTTGATCCCAAACGATGTATGTGTCATCATCTAAGCACATTGTGTTTATTGTGTTGCACATAGAGCAATATTCAAATTGTGATAGCTTAAATAATCACTGCTTTTCCGATGTACTCAGTTTATCAATACAAAACTCTAATGTTAAATTAATTAAATAGATCATTTAAACAGTGCCATATTTGGTGTGTTCTGAGAGCAAGATTAACAGTGAGATGAGGACATACAATATGCTCTAACATTCGTCTCACTGGTCCTTATTTGTCAAAGTTGTGGATAGTCAAATCTGATCATACAACGAGCACATGCAGATTTCACTGGCAGTTTTATTATTCATCAGTTTGATCTTTGGCTTATCTGTACGGTCAGAATCACATCTGGTGTGAGTGCAAGTAAACTTGAGCGTAATAGTTTAACAACCTGAAAAAATACTTGATTTGTGGTTAACTAACCAAACCTTTATCAGAATCATCTCTAATAACAATAAGTATAAAACTAGAAACGAACAATAATGCTAACAATTTATGCACGTGGCTGTCAAGTACAAAAGTGGTTGTTCTTATTTTACATGCACATTGGTATAAACAAATGCTGCAACTAGTTTGTGTTCCATTTAAAGACACATTACACATTGTAAAATTTGTTTCAATGTTTATTCTTAAAAAAATAAGAGTTTAGAACGTAACCCACATTATTGTTTTGTTAACTCACTATTAGAAGTTCAATGAACTCAAAATTTTAAGGCAACCAGGTTGCTTACTTTTTTATGTTAAAACATTTTTGTCATTTTTACAGTGCACTTTTTTATAATACTGACACCATCTAAAAATAAACAATACAAAACACTGCTAGTGCAGAAGCATCTTATACACTGCTACAATAAAATGTTTAAATAATGCAAATATATGTTTTATATGTAATTTTTTAAATATGTTAAAAATGATCATACTACACAATCACATCATTGTTCCAGCTTAAATAAACTAAGATGTTTTGTTTCACATTTTATTCTTTCTAGTGATAATAATTTTAACCCTACAAAGGTTGGTCAGTAGGGAGAGCAGTGAACTTAACCACATACTCCACCTGCAAGCACCGCTATCGGCTCACGTGCCGCTGAATGCTGTCGTTGTCAAAACTTGTATGTTTCAGATGGACTAATGGACACACCACTGTCTATTCAACTCAAATTAGAGTGTTTAGTCTGGTGCATCTACCTAATATTCAGAGTAATGTTTTATGTTGAAGTATTTGCTGAAAGTTTCACTGTAAAGCTGGAGCATACAAAGGAAAAGATGTTATCTGAATGTGTTAAAACCTCCAAATATCTGGAGCTGTGTAGTATTAAGCTGTTAGCTTGATGCTAATTCATGAGAAAAGCCATTAGGACATGGAAATTATTATGGTAGAAGAGGATAAACAAATACTACTGATGCACATGTCCAAGCACTGCTATATCGTGATATAATGTGATATAATGATATCTCAAATGTACGGTATTATCTATTGTGGTATTCATGTTTTATATCAGTACATGCCTAACTACTTAGCAGTACTAAAAAAGCACTGACTGTGCAACACTTCTTGCACATGTAGTGTCCATCTATATCTGTCAGTCAGTAAATGGTTGTGTGTTTGTTGTGACTTATGTTTTCAGTACTGTGTTTTGCTCCTCCATAGGTTCTTGGGAACCATGAGGCATGACATGCCGCTGTGGCCCAATGCGGACACGGTTGCGGGGGGAGATTGAATGCTGCTGAAGTCTCAAGGTGAGCTCCTTCACCGGGAATCTGAACTTGTATTGATCTGGGGCCCGGCTGACCTCGCATGGGCTGAACTGATCTGCTGATTTATGAGTCCAGGCTTTCGTTCCAGCTCTTCCTGCTGTCTTGCCATGATATGCTGGTCTAATGCCACTGTGTGCATATCAGCGTGGGGCAGACAGTAGAGCTGCATGGGGTGGCAGTTATTAAGTAATTATTCAGTAATTACTATGAGACTAATATGTAAGTCATGTAGTGATGAGAATGAGGAATTGAAGTGTGGGATACAGGACACTACAGTTTAATGGGTTAAAGAGTAGATTGTCATGCCAAGAGCTAATACATCTACATACTACAATGAATTAGTTTAATTTAAATTCTCTCTCTCTTTGTTAGGCTAGGTCGTCCTATATTTGCCACACAGTGCAGTGCAAACATAGTCGTGGTGCTAAATGTTGAAGCAGGATGTTGAGAAACGCTGCTGTCATTGTGTCATTGTTGGCTTCTACTATTGCTTTATTTAAAATAAAAGCACTGGGGGTGTCTACAGCTCAAGGCCCTGACTGGCTGGTGCTGTCAGGTAATCTGTGTTATAGTTTATTAGTGCATCACTAAAATAAACAAGACAGAGGTCCAGATCAGAACAGTGCGCATTTGGAGTTTCTTAGTATTAAGTGCTGACTCAGTGAATGCTGTAGCAGCCGACAGGTGCTGTTTGCTGTATGTGTCAATATAGGTGTATTTACATGCTCAGAAGCTCCGTCCACAGAGCAGTATTGACTCTCTGGTAAATATTTTATGTTAAAATGACCACAATGCTTGGATTTTTTAGTTATACTCCAGTCGGCTGTCTAGACTCCTGTGTGTAAGCACTTTTGTGTGCACTTTTGTTTTGTCAAGCTAAATACTAGCTCACCATTAGCATTCAGTTACCAGCTGCACATTCCATTAGCCTTTTTAGAGCAAGATATACAGTCCTATGCAAAAGTTTGAATATTTTGTTGATTTTCTACATGAAAAAAGTTAACACATTCCACAGGGAACAAACTTAAATATGGTATTTCTCTGCAAACTTTACAGCACACCTTCTATTTATTTGCTGAGTTTAATATCGGAAAAAAATAAAACATGAAATATAAAATGTTTTTCCTAATTTATTAATTTCAGCCGTTGTTCTCAGTAGAGGATGTGTTAATTCATTTTCACTTAGAAAATCGACAAAACATGCAATTTGTAAACTTTTGCCAGATTAAGACCATTGTATAACTATAGTTATAAAACTTATTCTAGTTATAAAACTTATTCAAGAGTGAACTGAAGCAGTTTGTAAGAAGTAAACAAGATATCTTTGCATTTTTGCAGACAGACATACCACCTTGTTTCTCATTGGGCTGTTATTGTAGCACTATTTATATAGCAATATGCAAAAATGATGATCTGTTGTTGATCTGTTGTCAGTCAAATGGTCCCTTTTTGTTAAATGAGCCTTCTTGACTCTTTGCCGATAGTCAGTCTTGAGACTATTATGTGGGCAAGCATGTGTGTGTGACATGATCATTGACTCTGGTGCATCTATCACATGGTAGGATTTCCTTGTCTGTGACAAAAAAAAGTAGGGGTGGGCACAGCGATATGGAAATATAATATCACGATACTTCAGGACATTTTCTTGATATATGATGCATTACAATATTTAGTGTTTCTAAGGTTTGACAAGTCGGTTAAGTTTGATAACCAGTGGTGCTACAATTTAAATGGTGTTCTTAAAAAAGTTTATTGTGATGTTATGTGATGTAACAGATGGTGATGACGATAAACATTGTCTTATTGCCCACCTCTGCACCATCCATCCATCCATCCATCATCTAAACCGCTTATTCTTCTGGGTCACCTCTGCACCATGTATTTTTTAATTCTGTTTATAATTACCACTATTTCATAGCTTATTAAAGGGCCCATGGAAAACCAAATTTCCCGTTTTGAAAAAGTTTGAAGTTTGATGTAGTATGTAAACATTGTTAAATTATCAACCTACACTCTCCAGTCCATGCAATCCATGTATGGAAACTAGTTGCAAAAACAGTCCATATTGAATTCACTGTTGTCATGATGTCACGAAAACCAATGATTAGGAACACCTCCTTGTTTGTGTACTCTTCTTGTTCATTTTCTCAGCTCCACTTACCATATAGGAGCACTTTGTTGTTCTACGATAAAAGACTGTTGTCCATCTGTTGCTCTGTGTACTTTGTTAGCCCCCTTTCACCCTGTCTTTAGTTGTCAGCACCTCACAGGACCACAACGGAGTAGGTATTATTTGGGTGGTGAATCATTCTCAGCACTGCAGTGACACTGATATCGTGCTGCCATATTTGGTGTGTGTTGCACTGGCACAAGTAGATCAGACACATTGTTGCTAATAAAGTGCACAGTGAGTGTATATTTGAATGTTCAACAGTTTAGCTCCGCCCATTCATGCTGAAGCTACAGTAAGTGTTTCAGTCTGGACTGTTTTTTGAATGAAGCGCAGTATGGTGCAGCCAGTCAGAACAGAGCTCATTTACATACCATAAAGGCAGAGTAACAAAATTAGCTTGTTTCAGGTAGATGATAAAAAGAGATTGGCAAGTGGTCACATAAAAATGAATTATGACTTATTCTTGGTACATAAAATGATGCATACTTTATAGGTGAATCTCAGAAGAAAAAAATATACAAGCAAAATATAAGTAAATATAAGATATGGACTCTAAGCTAGGCGTCACTGACAACATTCATTAGAAACCCTTCTACTTGACTTTAATTAAGTCTCTTTGAGGCATTAACTTGCGTTGTCAAAGTAAGTCATTTTTATAGTGTGTAGTAGAGAAACATCAACATAACCTTAGTTTTCTATATTCATTGTTTATGCTACTTTTTTCCTATGTCTGTTCATGATTTTAGAAACAATTGCACCTGCCCTTTCTGTCAAACATTAGAGTGGTGTTTAAGCCAAGCATCCTAAGCCCTGATGATTTCCTGCCTGTAAATTTACATATAATCATAACTCAACCATGTGATGTGGTTTGAACACAGCTTTTAACAGCTGATACTTCCCTCAGCAGGAAGCACTCAAGCAATATCCCTTAGATCTTGGATATTTGTTTATATACTGTGGAGAAAAGACAGTGTGGAACATGCAAGTGGAATTTGTTTGTCTAACAGGCCGTTCTGTGGTTTCTCACTGTCCCTGTGGACGAGGTTATGTGTAGGAGCGCAGGTTTGCGTTCTCCAAGCAGAAGTAACTCAGTTTCATCAGAGCTGGGCCAAATTTAGGCCGAAAGCTTATACCCGTGCTGATCTCTACCCTCCTACTTTCAGTGCTTGTGAGAAGCTCAATCTTTCCTCAGTCTCTTGCTCCCTCTTCATCTCTGCCTCTCCCTCTCTATTGTATTTCGATGATCAGATTAAGTTCCAATCCATTTTGCACACATTCAGATCTTACAGGCGCATGGATTTGTCTGGTTCTGTCAGCTTTTTGGTTCATTTCGGGTCTGCCCTACTAAGTTATGAGACACATCTTCATCTTCCCACCTGTTATCCACATGTTATATTAACGCTCTGCTGGAGAATGGTGATGAAGTTACCATGACACTTAAGAAGTGCCACTGCATTAGACCAGCCTAGCTAGTGGAGATGAGTGGTGAGGGATCATTGTCAGTATGAAGAATTATTGTCTGAGCAATCATCCACTGTCTGAGCACATCAATGTAGAAATAATGCTATATCAGCGTTTCTTAAACCTTCTCCTGGCAGCTCACAGTACTGCAAGTATTCCTTGACTCAACACAGCTGATCCAGGTATGTTGGGGCAGGGAGTATTTGAACTGTGCAGCGCTGTGCCCTGCCGGGAGTAGGATTAAGAAGCACTGCTCCAGAGGAGTCTTGTGGTTTATACAACAATGTGAACTCCCCAAGTTCAGTGTTTCTCAACCATGGGGGTGAGTTGCAAGTGGGTGATATACTCTATAATTTTTCCAAAGGTGTGAGTTTTACCATAACCTTTATGTTGTTATGCCACAAACACTCACAGATAATGAAGCGTACAATGCGTTCGGTTAGGATATTTAGCTCAGTGTAGTCTGTGCTAGGATTAGCGCGTTCAGCTGAATGCAGTCTGGGATGTTTTAGTCACGTTTCAATAATAAAAATGAAACCGCAAGAAAAATGTAAAGTCTCATGGAGTTGGCCTTTGGCCCACTCGCTGCACTTCTGTTTCATTTTGCACTGCCTGCGGCACCTTCCTTGGATAGTTACATCAGATGACACCACAGGCTCGAGGCCTTATCCTTGCATTAAAGGGGAATTCCACAGATTTTTTGAACTTTTTTTTTCAGAACTTTTTGAATAAATTCATTGTTGTGATGTAGACAAAGTCATTCAGAGTGGTTTGATGTAAAATGGCTCATTGTAGAGATTCTTTACTCAGATTTCTTTACAGTGGTGTTGATAGGAACCAGGATCATGATGTCTACAACACAAATATAGCCATTTTACTTTGTATCCAAAACCACCAGTGAACCTACATGTGTCTTCTAAGTTTTTATATAAAATGTTGAAAAAAAAAGGCGGGGGGTGCTGTTTTGCTTTACAACACCTTGCATGTACCCCTCCACCATGATTGGATTAAAATAAATGGATTAACAAGTTGTTTCAGGCCGAAACTTTATCAAAAAACTAGAGTCAAACAATATCTCAGGCATCAGGCAGCGTATTTATAAACATTTCATGTAATAATTTTCAGTGAGGGCGCTTCGCGAGGTGGAAGTCTGGTTCCTGTCACCATTACTGTGAATAATTCTGAACAGTTTCTCTAGAGTGGAGCATTTCACACCGAACCACTCTGAAAGACTTTGCTTACACCTTAACCATTCAGTTATGTAGAAATTGATGGAATTCCTCTGTACTAGAAAATCTGCAGGGTAATAGCTGCTACTGAGAGTGTGAATGGCTTGCAGTATTCACCG